TTTTCTCATTTTGTCTCTCATAGTTGAGGTCTACCTATGATGCCAATTACATGCCTCTCTCATCTTTTTAGGTGGGAGAACTTGCACAATTGGTGGCTGACTAAATGCTTTTTTGCCCCACTGTATATATAATATATATATATATATATATAATCAGTCATGGGTGAGAAAAAAATGAGGAAGGGTTGTAACAGCGCAAACACTGCAAAGTCCTGGGAAATGGTAGTATGGGTGATGGTGGTATTAGTGGCTACTGTATGAAGAGCGTAGGATTCCGTGTGGCACTGAGGGCAAGGCTTCCAAATAAGCTGTAGCAACTTCTGTAGATGAGAAAAAGGAGAGAAGCGCCTCTAAGTGCAATAAGTCTTTTAATTCAAGTCTAAATGTAGAAACACTCACATGTGTGAAGTAATCATAAGCATAAAAACCGTGGTTAACAATCGTTAACGGTGGGGTGGTAACCCGGGTGAAGAGCCGTCATCTCTCTGCGATGTGGGGAGGTCAGCTCTCGGCTGGAACAGCGTGGTGGCTGGAGGGGGAACAGCGGTGAGGCCAGCCTTCATGCACGTCCTCCCTCATAGCCGGATGGAACGCACGCTGGAACATAGCGGCGGCGTGGCCGTGATGACGTCAGATCCCAGGGTGCACTGCGACGCGTTTCGGAGCATGCACTGGCCGTGGAAGGCGAAGATCTGTGGTTAGTTCTTCAAGATGTTTAGAACAACTTACCTGCTAAGTTCCTTCAAAAACTGTGTGCAAGTGTACCTAGAAGAAGTTATGCTGGTTTGAAGCCAAAGGGTAATATTTTTTCTTTTAAGACAAAAGATGTTACTGTATGGGTTTTTTTTTAAACTAAAACCTCAGTATTCAGGTTTAATTGCAGTGTTGGCACTTTGTGGTAAATAAGTGGGTTTTGGGTTGCAGTTTGGGCACTCGGTCTCTAAAAGGTTTGCCGTTACTGCCCTAGGCTGCTCTCCTGAATTCTGTGTAATCTTTTTATACACTCCTGATTTACACCCCAGCCACATCAAAGCTGATTTTGAAATCGTATGACCTGATGATTTCCTTGCGATTTGCAAGACATCTGACACAGACGTCTATGCAAATCGCAACAAAAGTAGTGCATGCACTACTTTAGAAATCGGTGCTGCTCTGGCCAAGTCGGAACCGCACTGATATGACCGCTCTAATAGCGGACAATAGGGTGCAGCTTGGCATACGATTTGCAAGTCGCCTGGCATGCAAATCACATACCAAATCGCACCCGACTATAAACACCTCTTATATAGCTGTTTAAAATTCCAACTCGGTGCACATAAAGTTATAAGAACACAAGATTTCTAGCAGGATCAGCAAGATTTTGTCAGTATGAAACAAGTACTGGATCAAGAAACTAAATACAGCCACAACATCTAAGGTTTAGTATTCTGCAACAAATAGAATTTTTTTGTACTTTGGGTCTATACATACTTTAACGTCTCTGCAGGCTCTGCTTTTTTGAGGCTCATATTAGCTGCACAGTGTATGACTGAAAGTTACTGACAGGATTCAAATATTTGTAGTAGTTGTTCAAGTCTAAATGTGTGAGCTCCCTGCAAAATCAGTGTTAAAAAATGTTTTTTTTTTCCTAAGCGTTGTGGGTAAATAATGTTAGATGTTTCAGCCTCTAAAGTATAACAATAAAGCAGAACATAGATTATGCAATTTTCTTTCCTTCCACCACAGGTAGAAGCAAAGAAAATTGCTCAAATCCATCCTGCAGCTCTATTGTATTCTGCAGGCGAGCAGCCTTTCCTGCTGGCAGAACACAATGATCACTGCTTATGGCTATAGCCCCAGCAATGATCACATGAAAAAAATCGACTTCAGTACAACCAGCCTGCCCATAGATGGATTGAATCTCATCCATTTCAGCAGTGACGTAATGCAGAGTAGTGTAGTAGGGAAAAAGCAACGTGCCCTGTTACACCTATCTCACTGCACTATTCACTTCAATAAACCCATTTCACTGCACTATACACCCTGATACACCCAGCACATTACTTCATGCATCCCAATGTACCCAGCACAATGTACCATATACTTTATTAAATTTATTTCCTATACCGTGCACTCTGTTACACCCAGCTCTTTGCACCTCAATACACTCAGGGCCAGTTCACACTATAGAAATGCAGTCCAGGTACGTTTCAGGTGCGTTTCCGCATGCACATTTTCACATTGCCTTCCAGTTAATTTTTTCCCCCCTCTCTCTTTTTCTTCAATTTAAAAATGGACATGTGTGTTCCAGTGGGTTTTGGTGCGTTCCAGTGCTTTTTTGATGCATTTTACCGTGCTCCAGTATAGTTCTGTGCAGAAAAAATGCAGCCTGTTCTACCTTTCTTTCTGCAACTGGAATGCACTGGAACTGCATGCACTGATGTGAACAATGACAACCATATAACCTACTTTCTGTGCGTTTTGGATGCAGAAAAAAAACAGAAATGCATGTAGTGCGAACTGGCCCTCAGCGCAAAGTAAATTTCACCCAAAATACACCTATTACACTGCATCTTCCATTCCTCATACACTTTATGCATGGCACTGTGCACACCAATACATCTATTACAATGCAACATGTACACCAGTACATCAAGCACTATGCACCCAGTACACCCAGTACACTGCACTATGCACCCCATTACACTAAGCACATTGCACAATGCATACCTCCAAAACAATGCACCATCCTCCTTATATATTCAGTGCATTGCACTATGCAATCCAATACACCTACCACACTGCACCTCAATACACTCAGCGCATTTCACACAAAATGTACTGTGCAACCCAATACACCTAGCACCAGGCACCCCAATACACCCACACTGCACAGTGCACCCACTTACACTAAGCACATTGCACCATGCACACCAATACATCAATCTCACTATACCTCAATACAGCCATTCTGCAGCACCTCAGTATAGTCTACACACAATGTACAGTGCACATACAGTAGACACCCTCAAAACATTTTACCATCATCCTTATATACTCTGTACTGTGCAATCCAATACACCTACCACACTCTATTATGCATCTAATTATATTTATTGCTATGCACCTTAACCAATTGCCCTCCAGAGGATTTACCCCCCTTCCTGAGCTGGCCATTTTTTTAAAATAGGCGCTGCGTTACTTTAACTGACAATTGCGTGGTCATGCAATGCTGCACCCAAACTAAATTTATGTCCTTTTTTTTCCCATGAATTGAGCTTACTTTCGATGGTATTTGATTGCCTCTGCATTTTTAATTTTTTTGCGCTATAAACAAAAAAAGACTGACACTTTTGAAAAAATAACAATATTTTTGACCTTTTGCTATAAAACATATCCAGTAAAAAAATGTAAAAATCTAATTTTGTTATAAATTTAGGCCAAAATGTATTCTGCTACGTCTTTGCTAAAAAAAAAATCCCAATACGTGTAAATTAATTGGTTTATGTGAAAGTTATGGTGTCTACAAATGGCGTTATATATACTGGGAATATTTATTTTTTTTATACTAGTAATGGTGGCGATCAGCGACCTATAGTGGGACTGTGGGACTGGGATGGGCATTCTGATACTGGGGGGAACTGACTAACTGCCACTGATATCCCCACTGACACTAATACAGTAATCAGTGCTAATAAAAAGCACTGGCACTATACTAATGACACTGGGCAAGAAGGGGTTAAAATATGTGGCCATCAAAGGGTTAACTGTGTGCTGTGTACTGTTTTATTATTTTGTCTGTGCGTGCTTTACTGTGTAAGCACGCTGCTTTGTATCATTCTGCTATGCAGAGCGATACAAAGCAGCGTGCTGGTGCTGACAGGGGAGAGATCTATATTGTTTACATACAGACCTCTCCTCTATCAGTGTTCCTGGGCAATCGCCGGCAGGGAATCTCCGGAAGGGACCCAATGATCGACAGCTGTAGCCACCAATATCGGCATGGGTAGGACGGAGCCTGTATTGGGACCTGTAGTCTGGAGATTTCTAAGAGATTTGGGAGGGATGAAATCTCCAATCCTGGGTCCATGTTTTGAGAGCAGCCAGTGTGCTGATTGCACAGGTGTGTGCAGGCCTTTTTGTGGAGGCCAGGCCATGATTCTGGGCTCCACCCCAGCAGTCGGGAGGCTCCGCCCTCGTAGACAGGAGGTCTCTGCCTTGGAGTCAGGAGGGCTTCACCAAGGAGAGCTGGAAGCCAGAGTAGCTGTGTGCTAATGGCCAGCTGTGTGCGGAAAAGCCATTTAGAAAGAGTCTGCAGGAGACAGACGTAAGCCTGAAGTGGAAGGCCAGAGGAAAATTGTGTGTACAAGCCAGGAGGCTGAATGTTCTTTGCATTTGTTTGATGGTGGATACCACTGCGTGGGAAGCTTTATGGAACTTTTTCTTTAAATAAAAGTGGGCTAAAAAGGCCTTAAAAAAGAAAGCGTGTTGCTGTGTGCTTTAACCATTAGTCTACAGGGCACTTATACCCCCTTCCTGCCCGGGCCAATTTCCAGCTTTCAGCGCTGTCACACTTTGAATGACAATTGCGTGGTCATGCAACACTGTACCCATATGACATTTTTATCATTTTTTTTTGACAGATAGAGCTTTATTTTGGTGGTATTTAATCACCTCTGGGATTTTTATTTTTTCTTAACAAACCAAAAACCACTGAAAATTTTGAAAAAAAAAAAAAAACGTTTTTTCTTAGTTTATGTTATACTATTTTGTAAATAAGTGATTTTTCTCCTTCAATGATGTGCGCTAATGAGGCTGCAGTGATGGGCACTGATGAGGAGGCACTGGTAGATTGCACTGATGGGCATTGACAGGCATCACTGATGGGCACTGAAAGGCAGCACTGATACATGACACTGATATATGGCACTGATAGGCAGCACTGACTGGCACTGATAGGCGGCACTGACTGGCACTGATAGGCAACACTGACTGGCACTGACACTGGCACTGATAGGTGGCACTGATTGTCAGCACTGATAGGTGGCACTGATTGGCATTAATAGGTGGCACTGACTGGCACTGATGGGTGACATTGAAAGGCAGCTCAGATGGGCACTGATATGTGGCATTGATATGGCACTGATGGGCACTGGCACGTGGCACTGATGGGCACTGGCATGTGGCACTGATGAGCACTGACAGGTGGCACTTCTGGTGCCACACTGATCATCAGGGCACACTGATCATCGGTGCCCTGATGATCAGTGTACATGTTCCCTCTGAGGAATGCCGATTACCGGCTCTCCTCTTCTCTCGAGCTGTCAGCGTGACAGCTTGGGAGGAGAGAAATGCCGATAACAGGCATTTCCGTGTTTACATGTGATCAGCTGTGATTGGACACAGCTGATCACATGACCGAGCGACATCTTCGGCTCTTTCCGTGATCTGCTGTGTCCGAGGGACACAGCGCACCGGTGATCGCTCCCTGAGCCGTGCATGCGCAGTGAGAATGGTAGGACGTCATATGACATCCTATCAGAACAAGAGATCCATCTTGCGCCCGTCATTGTACTATAGGGTGGGCGGAAGGTGGTTAAAAAAGCTCTACCATTTGAAGAGAGTTCCCACAATATATATACATGATTTAGTGCAGCCCTGCCACCCTGTAGCAGTACTTGTATAGAGTGGTCAGGAAGCAGTTAATACACCCATCTAACTGTGCCATGTATCCCAAGACACACAGTGCATTGCATCATACATCCCGAAACATCTACCACACCACGTCACACCACACAATTCACTCCAATACAGCTAGCACCCCTATGCACCTGGTGCACTGTACAGGGAACCCCATTACAACCAGTACATTGCTTTGTACACATGATACGTTCAGCATACTGTATTATGCATCTCAGCACACTCAACGTAATGTACAATGAACCCAGATACACCCACTGGGGATGGTTGGCTGCTTTATTCCAGAGAGGTACAGATGAGTGCTGGAAGAATGCATCTCTCTGTCTGGGGCTCCAGGGATGGCTAGCTTCTCTCTCCCCTCTTTTTTTATATTTTTTTAATTAGGGGGGCGCCCAATTCTTGTGTTGCCTAGGGCAGCACAAAAACAAAATACTCCACTGGGCACCAGCATGAAGTAAGTGCCATAGAGATTACATCAGGACCACACATTACAGAACTACTTTAATGCATTCCAGTGGTTTTTACAGATATTGACAACTGCATGTAAAGTAGACCTTTGACTTTTTTAAAATGTTAGAAACATGATTTACCATTTCTTTGCTGATTGGTAGGATTGAATGTTGTTTTTTTATTACTCATTTGTTCACTTGTGTGCACATTCCTTTGCAAATTATGTATTGTTGAAGTGACTGCCAGTTTGTATTTCTGAACAGGAACAGTGATTTTTCTGCTAAACAGGCTTCCCAAGCAAAAGACAGGCAATCCGATATCCGATATCTTTTATTTAATGTTAGTTTTTTTCAACTCAATAGGTAGTTATCAGTTCAACAAAATGACACCCAGGCTTACTGCAATGCACAACGATTTATAATCTTATAGTAAAAGACTGTATGCATAGTTCCAGAAGAATAAAATATGAATTTCTCATGAACATAAAATGCTCCTTTAGTTTTAAATCAATCTAATCACTCATGCAAGCACAACAGATTCGCCCCTTCAGCACAGATAGACACATGGATGTCATCCAGAGGGATAGCCTTACGTTGTTTGACATCTGTCAGCAACATCTGTGTACTTTTGGAAAGTCTGTGGTTCACACATTCTGAGCTCTGCATCCTTAGCCTAGATTTGTGCTCTCTTGAGGATCAACCCTCTCACTGCCAAAAATCCCTAGCAATACACTAGTTCAAATCAGTCTGGATGGAGTCTTAACAAAAAAACAGAATTCAAATGGCTAATATTGTTACCTGCGGGTTCACTCTGATATAGCTTTCATAAGGTAATAATTGTAACTTGTACGTTGAATCTAGTGACTCCCATTGTAAGACAACCCTTACTGAACAAAAATGTTAGTGTCATTTTCCTGTGTTGAAACTAGGAGGCATTTGAAGGGCTGTGAGACCATGTTGAATATCTCAGTTTGGTGACTATGGACAGAGACAGAGAAAACATCCTGTATATGTGAATCACTAAAACTAGAATCCTAGAATGTTATGGTGCAGCTCCATCACAGTTGCTTTCATTTTAGTAAATGAGCCAATGTGTCTTAAACTGAGCTGTGTTCTAGTGGGGTGTATATGAAATTTATCACTTCTCCACCATAGACATAAGATTTCAATCTCACCATTTTTTATCACTGATTCGCTAATTTTGGACAAATTATGGTAGCACTGTGTCCAGTATGACTTCCACATTCCCCCCACTCAGTGTGAGGTTCGGCAGACCTCATTTTCATCAAAAACAAGATTTTGTGTTAGGAAATGGTATGTTGGGCCTTTCATTTACTTTGGGTGTATTTTGGTTTTTATTTTGTGTTGATAAGGACTTTTATTATAGGCAGAACTTTTTTTTAATGCAAGTCTTTCTGTATAAAAATAAAAGTGGGGTTTTGTCTCTGGGATAGTAATTTTTTTTGTTTTTCTTATTTTATTTTATGTTGATAGGACCTTTTTGAGTTCTTAAAGCAGAGCAGAGCAGTTACTTGTTACTAACCATCTGTTACCTTCCACTTTTGTTCTCAGCATGTTTTCCGTTGATGGAAAGGAAAAAAAAAAACCTTGTGCAAAAGCAGTGTTCATCTAAACTACCTCACATTATATCCCTCACATTCAATGCACCCAGCTATCCTCATAAATAAATAAAAGATAGTTATATGCCAGTCAGGCTCTCCTGCTGTTGGGTAGTTTTATATTGCAATATACTCTGCAGTTTCTTAACTCTTGTAATAAACCTCCAGTCTTTGCTTTTTGATTCTAGTAAATGTGGGCCTAGTTTTGGTATTTAAAAGCACCTGGTGATTGCCGAGCATCTTCAACGGGGAGGAGGAGAATTGTTTGTAAATAATACAGTTTTCTCCCCTGTTAGCTCCTGCACACTGCTATGCATGTCTGGGCTCAGCACAGCCATGCAAAGCGGTGTGCTTACTGTGAAGCACACAGACACAGCCCCGAGTGAAACAGCACACTGTTAACCTTTTGATTGCCCCACATGTTAACCCCCTTCCTGCCCAGTGTCATTAGTACAGTGTCAGTGCTTTTTATTAGCACTGATCACTGTATTGGTGTCACTGGGATGTTATTGTCTAATTGTATGCTATTGGGTCATCTGTAGTCCATATATCCTTGTAGTAAAACACCTGCCTGTACACTTTTGCTTTTTGACTGTTTTTACCTTTTACCCTTCTACCCTTCTACCCTTTACCCTGCTATGTAATCAGTTTAACAGCAGAAACAGGGACAGTCTCAGCAAACTATTGGCCAATTTCAAATCACTAGTCAAGCCAACATATTACTGTTTGATGAAAAAGTATGTGACATAGCTAAAATGATCTGAAATTAATCAGATTTGGGTGCTACTGCTATATGTGCTATAAGTCAAGCTAAATGTAAAAGAAAAAATGAATTCCACAGCCAAATATACAGTATGCTACCCTATATGTTGTTTTTCTGTAACACCATGCATTTCAGTGTTTTAACCAGTTGTGGACATTGGGTGCACTACACACTCCCACAATAATTTAAAGTAGAACTAAAGGCAAAATGTTTTTATTTTGGATAAAGTAAGGGAGGGTATTAACTCCTGTCAGTATATTTTTGTCATCTGCGTCACACTGGGGATAATTCCCTTAATTTCCTGTCCCATAGCCAAAAACAGGATGTGAGAGGAAATCCCTGCAAATTAGGGGAAAACTTTGGGGATCCCCAGGTCACCCTTGTCCCCATTGGAAGATTTCCCCTCTATTACTTTTCTGGGAACTCAAATATTGCAATTTTCTTTTACTTTCACTTTCACTGATAATGGTAAACAGGACAAATAGAGAGGGTGAATCTCCCTAGCAGGGGCACAGACAGCAATAACAACTGACAGGGGTTCTAATCCCTCATCACTCCTTCCAAAACTAAAAAAGAAAGTTTTGCCTTTAGTTGCACTTTAAAGTGGTTGTAAACTTTAGACATGAAATATGAACTAATCATATCCCTCTACAGTGTGTTCTTGTCTCAGTTAAGAGCACAAGTGTCTTAAGTGTCATTTCTGTCTGCTGCTTCATTTCTTCTGATACATTTTCCTGACACCAAGAGAAAAATGGTGACAGATGAGGGTGATCAAGCAGATTGACAGGCTAAGCTTTATTCCTGTGGAGAGGGGTGTGTCTCTTCCCTCCAATTAACTTTCAGATCTCTTCTCACTGAGCTCTGCAGAGTGTAACTTCTGCTCTCCATCCCCTTTTTTCTGAACTCTCAGACAAGCTTTAAAATTGCTTTTGAACTGATGCAGAGAAGGGAAGACTGTAGATAGACAGCTAAAAATTATGTAGGAGGATTTGTTTAATCTGTGTATCACCTGACGCCAGTCACTTCACTGGGTATATGTAAGGGTTTATAACCACTTTGAAGGCAAATAGGGTGTATGAAGCATGCCTTCCTTTTCTTCCCTACTGCTCCCCCCTCACACTTGCCAGCATTTCCCGACCATCAAAACAATAGCCAGGAATTGCTGTACAAATACAGCAGCTGTAGAAACTGCTATGGTTAAATATAGCCATCTGACAATTTATAAACTCTATTTAGATATGAGATTCAGAAATACACAAGTAACATTGTTACTTTTGTATCTGCTCTGTTTCATTCATCTGCAGGTCAAATAGGTGGCTAATCTGTAAATGATGTTAGTTAAAACAGCTTGACAAGTTAAATTTTTTAATAATTTAATATCTCCTTCTTTTTCTCTCTTATATATATTCTACACTTTCAAATGTTTTTGTTGTTTTTGCTAGGTATTAGTGTAGTAGTTTTTTATTACCTGTGTTGTTAGTTTGCCTTACCTTGTAATGATGGTCTCACATGTTGTGGCTGCAGTTTGTAGTGTCATGGTCAATTGATTCCCCTATGTCAATGTTTTGCTACAGCTAGCCTTTCCCTAATGGCCTAAGGGACAAGACAGTTTTCTGTTCTGGGACACAGCATCCAGTGCATGTGTTGCCATCCACTCTGTGTTGCATTAAAAATGTGGGAATGCTGCTGTAATAAAAACACATCTCCAGTTGCATAGTATGTTCTCTGTCTGTACATGCTAATCACAGTCAGATCTAATGACTGCACCAGTGCCAGCACTAGATTGGGAGATCCAGGGATTGTGGGATATGTAGTTTCTTCACAGGAAGTGTCAATTCTCAGACTACAGACAGAATCCATGCATGTACC